TACGTGGTGCACAACCGGCGGTTCAACAACAACATGGGCTTGATGCTCTCAAACGCCTTTATGAAGCTAAAGGTTTCGAATCTCACCTTCTGCGGGATGTTCGCCGTAGACTTGGGACAAAATCCGCATGTGCTGGTCGTTCTGTCTCTTCTTATGCATGCTTGGGATTGCCACTTTGCTTGCGTGTTGTTGTATTGCGCTTTGCTTGCATGTAGCGGGCTCAGAACCATGGCGGAATATACGGTCACTAGCCTTCTGCGTTCTGACGGCTCAGTACAAACCACGAGCCGCGTGACACTCGAGCACCTCCCCAACTTCATCAACGGCAATGAGATCCAAATGTTCATTCGGACTCACGGCATAGCGCACCAGCAAAGTGTTCAATCCCACGGCTCGTCACGTGACGTGCCAGCGCTCACTGGGCAGCCCCGATCGCGTTCACCTCGGTCACGAATTTCGCGGATCCAGCTCACACCGGGCCCGCAAGGGCACTCGGATGAGGAAGAGGATTGGGGTGAATGGAGGAGTGATGGCAGACGCGCCCATAGTGATCAAAGGAGACCACGCTCGCCCCCGTTTCCTCCTGCTCGTGGCAGTCCTTCTGAGAACCGCATCGCGTTGGCGCCTCTCTCAGTTCGTCGGCAGGTACCTGACTTGGGGGTTCATCGCTTCAAGCTACGCACAGGGTGCCGGATTGAGGAGATCGCCATCGAACTAAACGATGTCCTCTACTACACCTTGCCGTCGATTGCCGCCTTGGTATTTCCTGAACCGGAGCTGTTGAAGAAATCTTGGGAGTCGGTCTATAGGAGCCTCATGCAGCACCGCCGCAGCATCATCGAAGATGAACAGAGGATCAAGTCAATTTCAGAGTTTCCATTTGCTCAGCCTCCACATGGAGTTCCGGGACGCTGGACGGAGCAAGTGCTCAAAGACATTTCGGACTACTTCCAGATCTCGCGGCGCTCGCTACCTCAGCAACTCATCGTCCAGCTCGGCATTTGCGAGGAGAAGTGGCCATATATTAGCAGAACCACGCGGACCTTGCACCACTTCTCCGCGGACAAGAAGAACTCGCAGAAGAACCTCTTCGGTATCATCTTCTCATTTGAGCCACGCCGATTGTTGCCCGACAAGCAACTGACTCAATCGCAGTCCACCTTTTTCTGGTCGCACAACACCAACGTACAGGCTGCCATGCAAATCCTGCGTGATGATGAACTGATCCGACCTTCGAAGTGGCAAGAACATCCCTCCCCCAATCGTGAGTGCTCCAACTGGAACGAAGTCTGGTTGCCGCCGATGGGATTCTACTGCAGAGGCAGCCTCCAGTCTCAAGAAGCGGCAATCCAATCAGCTGCGCAGTTCGGTGGAATCCGGACGGATCGCCCGGTGTGCATTGGTGGCTCTGCTCGTCTCCGACAACAGCATTGCACTATACCCCGCGGCGGCGTGTACGCGGACATAGCAGCCTCCCACTACTATGACTGCATTCATGCCAAGGATGGCAGGTGGAAACTAAGATCTTCAATCGCAGTGCCCAGTTACATGGGCATCTTCTGGTAAACCATGGTGGCTTACCAGTACAAGACCGTGGCTACTGACCCGAAGTGGTGAGTGCTATGTTTGTTTCATGATGCACATCATGACGCTCCTCTTCCGAAAAACGCATTGTGTTGTCCGCGGCTCATGGTTGGTTTTGATGCTTCCTTTTATGGTCTTGCTTGCATGATCGGTTGTGTGCCTTCTGTTGCTTGCCGTCGCCGCTTTCAGTCATCTCTGGTGGATTTGACCCTGGTTGTCTCGTCTTTTCGGGATTGTGATGGATCATGGAGATCTACTACGAGATTGTCGGCACATGCTACTCGCTATGTCATCGCAGATCAGTTTACTTCTGGCGGGACTCCAGCGTCTTGAGGGGCAGCAGCGACATCCACAGCCGCCCCCACCACCACCGATTCCGGAAGTTCATCCCCCGCCGTTGCCGCCGCCGTCCACGGCGCCTCCGCACTTGCCAGCAACATCGGTCAGACCTGACCACATGGCAACGCCGGTCACTCTCGTGGCCACCACGGACAGCCGTGCGGAGCACCCTGCTCTCACACGCACGGTGAGTGTCAGCACTTCCTGGGAACACAGACGACGGCGAAGATCTAGGCATCGTGAGCCGCACCGAAGACGATCCCGCAGCCATCATCGACGGCTCCCAGAACGTCCTGTCGATGCAGTTCCAGTGGGTCGCCGTCATGCTTATACTCCTAAGTATCCACCGGCAGTTAAAGCCATGCCAGCTTGCAGACCGTCTGGTCTGCCCTATGAACGATGACGGAGCAACAGCGACAAAAGTACGTCAGAGTTTGCTACATTCATGCTTGCATTTACCTTATCTCTGTCTTGCCGCAGCATTATCGCTTTGCAGCTTTGCTTGAGTTGAACTTGTGGTTTGATCGGTTGCCATGTATTTGTCAGCTGAGTTTGTGAATAACCTGGTGGCTGTGCTCAATGTCCTTGCATCCCAAGTGGCGACAGCTTTGGATACCCTGAACTTTGCCTTGATGACGGAACGTGGTCGTCCGACTGACACGGTGGTCACCCCAAGAGCACCAAGAAACTCCAGACATGGGTTGCGCCCCCGCATCATCACGGAGCACCCCTCATCTGACAGATCCCGATCACCCGCACGTATTCGGGGTCGACCGCTGGACACGTCATCTACCTGGTACATACCGGCCTTGTCCCCGCCTAGAGCGGCACATCGTGATGCTAGTGACCACAATCCGGGAGCTCGGCCCGAATCGATGCTGGATCGATTACCACCTCCTCGTCCCCTTGCTCCTGGCGCGATACACGGTGGACGAGAGCCAGGACAAACGACGCCTACGACACCTGATTCGGATTCTGATGGGTCCATACGTCCGCATCCAGGTGCCTCGTCGTTCCGGCCGTCGCCGACGGTGGTCCATGGTCCTCGTGAACTTCTACAAGAATTTACCATTGCACTTCGCAATGCGTACCGTGAACCTTTCACGGCATGGACACAGGGTGAGCTGGATGAAATGGTGAGACGAAAGAAGGATAAAGATTCCAGACCCACCTATAAGACCATTGCGCGGTTTCTTCAGAAGCCGATTGAGGAAGTCAAGCAGGCATGGAAGGTCTATCAACAACTTGAAGCTCGCGGCTAGCAACATGCCCGATTGAAGCTCGCGGCTAGCAACATGCCCGACAAATGCAGCAACGACCATTGATGGACCAAATGATACGCAGCGGCGGTGTGTCCGATTCGCGTTGTTGATCACATGATATTTGCTTGCTCGCATGTGAATCAATCTTGCTTGTCGTGTTGTGCAATGTCGTTGACATGCAGTGATGCCTTGCCTGAGTTGCTCAAATCATGTCGGAACAAGTTGTACAGACGTACATTACCTGGACCCATGGAGCGCAGCCGACGTGGTTACAATTTCATGGACCCGGGGCTCTACTCGACAGACCCATACGGTTAACTACGTCACCTCCGCCCCCGCCAAGTTTGCCATTGCTTCTTCCACCTCCTCCTCCACCACCACCACCACCACCGGTGATTCTTCACCCACAGTTTATGCCCTCGGTACGCAGCCCCACGATCTCAGCCCCTCGTGGACAATCCTGTCCTACCTCTTCGAAATCGCAGCGCACACGCCGCTCGATCTACAGCAGTGACCCCTCCCGTGATGAAGAACCACGCAGTCCAGGGCCCTCGTCCAAACGATCTCGGACAGCATCAGCTTCGGCGCCGCGGCGATCTCGACGGCCCTTTACAGTGTTTTATTCCA